TTACTCATATGGTAGCTCCTCCTCTTTTCTCTGATTTTAGTTTATCAGGTCTCATGAAGAGGGGCTGTTTTGTCTTTCTCTGTGGCTTATTAACTCTGCACCCCATTGAGGAGGAGGAGGTCATGGCAGAGAGAGTTTTTTCTTTACTAGGGAACCCACTTGGACCCTGAGCTGATCAAGGCTTCCTCTGTGCAAGGGGTTCTAGGTCATCTCCATGAATTGTCCTTGGTTTGAATGTCAGTCTTAGGAAAGATGCCTGTGTCCCTATTTTTTGATTCTACTGCTCTTCTAGTGGAGCTTCTGTCCTGTCTGGTTTCCATCGCCAAACTTTTTGCCGAGTTCAGGGAATCTTATGAAAGAAGGGGGAGAGAGAAATATTTTTTTTTTCAATTTTAAAAAATTTGTTTATTGTTTCATTAATTGCAGCTATTCACTTTTTATCCAAGCTGTAGCCCCTCCTAGTCTCCTCCCCATCTCACCTTCCCTCACTCATCTCCTTCCATGCTCCTTCCAAAGTCCACTGATAGGGCACTTCACTCCTCCTCCCTCTGATTGTAGTTTGAGGTCTCAGCAGCAGTGGCTGCATTGTCTTCCTTTGTGGTTTTTTTTATCTGTACCCACTTGAGGATGGTTTTGGTTCACGACTTGGCCACTGATTTCATGTCAGAGACAGTCAGTGTTTCTAGTCTTAGGCATCCACTTGAAATGTGAGTTTTCTTAACCTATATCTGTGTAGGTGTTATTTGTTATTTCCATGAATGCCCTTTGATTGGAGTATTAGTCTCAGCAAAGAGCCCTGTTACCTGAGTTTTTGGTTCTCTTGCTCTCCTTTTGGAGCTCTTGTCCTCTCCAGGTATCATAGCCTATCTTTGTTCTGAGTGTAGGAAATCTAATGAAAGAAGGGGAAGAGAGAAATCTTTTTTTTTTTTCTGTTTCAAATTTATTAATTTTTTTTGTCAATTCCTGTTTATTCAATTTTTATCAGAGCTTTAACCCGGTCCTTAGTCCCCTTCCAATCCCATCCTCCCTACCTAGGCTCCTTCTGTACCTTTCCCAAAGTCCACTGGTAGAGGAATTCCTCCTCCCCTTCAGTCTGTTCCTAATGTATCAGGTCTCAACAGGAGTGGCTCTTTTGTTTTCCTCTGTGGCTTGGTAAAGCTAAACCTCCCTCATGGTGAGGTGATCAATGAGGGCATACTTATAGTTTCAGAGGGTTAGTTCAGGACCATCATGTCGTGAGCAGGCAGGCATGGTATTGGAATAGTAGCTGTATACTCTGCAACATGATTCTCAGGCAGAGAAAGAGACTGGGCCTGGAGTGGGCTTATGAAACCTCAAAGCCCACCTCCACTAACAGTCTCTTTCTAGTAGGACCATACCTCCTAATTCTTTTCATACATTTCATTAAGTGAGGACTAAGCATTCAATCATGTGATCCTATGGGAGCCAGTCTAATTCTAACTACTACAAGGAAATAGAGAACAAATGCCAAAATGTGGCCACCTTGCTGGCCTCACTTGAGGCATGTTTTGATTAGTTTAATTAATACCACTTGGCCTGGGCGTGTATTTTTCTTAGCCTGAGGCCAAGTAAGTAGTTGAAGAGATTCTGCTTTTGCCAACAAGTAGAAAAAAGTAGTCCAGTAACACACTCATTGTGTTCAGAATGTCCATGTCATGCTATCCTGTTGTGATCATGTGTGGATATACATTAAGAAGAAAACTAAATACTTAAGTCGAAAAATAAAAAAAAGGAAAGTAACTATATTGCCTACTATTAGATTCCTTGTTATATGGTGACAAATAACCCTCTTCCTTGTTTGAAATTTCACTGTTTTGTGAGAGTTTTAGTTATGTAAGGGAAAATACAAACCTTAGATGATTCCCACATTTCCACTGATAGCTGTTTCCTATGCACTTTGACAATGTGTTTTATCTTCTCTCTAGCAGCTGATGGTTTGTTATGTGTCTCAGCTTATGTGTGAGGTATATTTTGGATCACAGTGTTGAGTGGTGTGGGAGTTTTTTTTTTTTTTTCTTGTTTTTGTTTAGCCGAAGTCTAAGACATGGCCCTGTCAAGAAGTTTGAAGAGCATTAGTTAATCCAAGGGACTAATTTGTTCTAAGATGTTAATGGATGATAATGGCTTGTATGGGATTTCTAAATTAGGATGAGAATTGATTTTTTATAATCATTGGGGTCATGTGTCCTTTATCTTAAAAGAAGAAAGAAATGCAAAAAGAAGACAGATGTGACAGGAGACAGGGTGATTGATAGCAATAGCCTGTCTTAATAGTGAAGAAGTACTCTGAGTCATATTCCTCTCAAGCCTAGCTATCTATAATCTTCAAAATTATCTGCAGTTACATTCAATGAGATGAAATTTTACATAAACAGCCATTCTAGAAATAGATCAGCCCAAAATACTTTGTCACCCCTTTTCTCACTTTTCTCATGCCACCCCTGACTCCTAAGGCCACTCACTTGGGGCCATGTAAGTAGACACAAGAAAAATTAGCTACTCCCCACTTCCATAGTGCACAAGTTAAAGGACAACATCTGAAACCAGACACTGAAACATGCTTGTCCCTTTATTTCTTCAACACCCACTGTCTTGTTCAAGTTTCTACATGAATTCAAGTGTGCACACAGTCAATTCGGCTGCTCCACTCTTCTCCATAGCCTGATAGAAAGATTTCAAGAGTAGTGCAGGTGTTCTTAAACCTAAATCATGTATATATTTTTATTAGTGATGTGAAACATTTGGGATTAAAAATACAATTAGAGTGTAGTCTGAAGGCTATGTATAATAATAGAACCAAGATCAATGAACAGAGTAAAAGCAAAAAACTCACTTAAAGCCTGTCTTCAGGCTAGCAGTTTTCCTCTGCTAATGCCTGCTAAAAGGCAATGGGTCCTATTTTATGAAAAATGAGCTGGCTGCTATGACAACTGTTAGTGAATATTATTTTACTATTAGTCATTAGTTTTCAGTAGCTGCCTCTGGGCCCAATGTTCATTCTAAAAACCCATATGCACATACATTCTTAATGGAGTTCTCTTGGACATGTTTACAACAACAAAAAAAAAAAAAAAAAACACACTTTCAACTAGTTGACCCTGTCTTTTCAAAGAGAAATTTGAATTAACATATATAATTATACCTTCATTTTAAATGTTATTGCCAATTTTTTACCTTTCTTCCACAAAAGGTGATTTGGACAAGGACTTATATTGTGCTCATCTATAGATTTAATTAAATAGATGCACTAGATCAGAGTTAAAGAAATTTCCTTTTAGTTAAGTAGTTCATATATTTGAAAATACATTTTGGGGATAAGGAGATGGCTCAGTTGTTAAAGTATTTGCTACAACAACATGGGGGCCTTAGTTTGGATTTCTAGCACCTGTGTGAAAAATCTGATGTGGTTGGCACCTATAATATCAGCGCTGAGACAGCATCTCAAAAGATAAGGTGGAGTGATAGTGAGATAGCTCAATAGGTAAAGACATTTGCCATGTAAACCTTACAAGTTGAGTTTTGACTTCTGAAAGCCATATAAAGATCGAAGACATACACTATGGCACATGAAAGTCCCCACACACTCACCACACACACACACATGTGCACACACTAAAGAAAACATTTAACATACAATTACATCATTTTCTGTGGTTCCAAGTGATAGGATATCCCATTCAACCTGACTTTGCAAAAGAACTTTCAAACAAATTCAATTTGAAATTCCCAAGATAAGAGTTAATATAGAGATCTGTGATCCTGTTTCATTACTTTGATCTTCTTTTGGCTGTCCCTTCCCCATGTATCAAGTTCACGCTTTCAGTGGACTGTCCTATGGTAACAACTTTTGGGGAGATTATGCTGAGTCTTGGTCCCAATTTTCTTACCAGGAGCCCTGAGATTTACTTATGTTTCCTCTTTAGTTATTTGGGGTTTTTTTTGTTTGTTTTTTGTTTGTTTGTTTTTTCCTGAATCCTCTAGCAGGAGCAGAGGATATATGTGCTCTAAGAAATATGCCCATCCTTGAATAATCTCCACTGCTTGGGAAGTAGACTATATTAATTGACTTAAGTCATTCAGAACCCACTGTTAGTGTGGTATGGTATTAATCTCCTGCAAAAACACACATCTGAGAATCTGGAAAAAGAGTTCAAAAAGGAAATTTGAAGTTTTGTTATATGGATGACAAGGGGAAATTTTGTGGCTTTATAACAATAATTGTGAGTGTTTATTGAATAATATAAACCAGTTACCACTTACATCATTTTACAGGTATATTGGCTAGAAGAATTATATAGTATATTGGTTAGAGGAATTATATAAAGTAGCATAAATTAAACACCGAGGGGTTGTTTTTGAATCCTTTGTGATATGAAGGCGAGGAATATTCAGTTTCACTTTGTCCTTCATATCTCAGGTATATGTATTACTTTATAACTTACAATAAATTGCCACTGAAATTTTCCTCTTTAAATATTATCTTCATTTAAAAATATTTTTATTTTATGTGTATGGGAGTTTTGCCGCATGTATGTCTTATGTACCATGCACAGGCAGTGCCTGTAGAGGCCAGAAGAGGATGTTGTATCCTTTGGAACTGGAGTTATAGATGGTGGTGAACTGCTTTGTGGGTGCTAGGAATAGAACCCAAGTCCTCTGCATGAACAGCCAGTGTTCCTTTTTAAAATGAGAAGCTGAGGCAGGCTCAGAGGGGATTATATAAGTTGCTAATGGTTGTAAGTGGCAGAACTGATAGTTTCTTGAAATCATAAGAGCTTTATCCTGGTTCTCCTTCCTAATATTCCTACTTGTTCATGTACCAAGAACTTCATTTTTAATTTGAAAAAAGTGACAGTATTTTGCTCTAGGCCCAATATAAGCTCATGCTCGTCTTCAAAAAAGACAATTAAGAACAATCTTGACTGTCTTTCCAACTTGATTGCATATTGCTCTTTTCATGTTGCCACACTAGTTGGAACATGGCATATCAGCAGGAGTTGTGTTTGGTAGTAAGCAATAGAGATCTAAAAGGAAGGTGAAGATGGCTCAGTGAGTTGAGGCATCTTCCTACAAGTGTGATCACCTCTGATCTCTACACCCATGCTGTAGCACATGCCTATCCCGTCATCCCCCCCCCCCC